CTCGCCGATCCTGCTGCGTGCTGGGCACCGCTAGGCGCTGGGACCCTCGCATAAGCTAGGTGTCCGTGCTTTGGGGCTGGCCGAGGCGCAGCTGCTTATCAACCCTGGAGATGGGGGTGGAGGGGAAGCTTCTTAGAGGAGGCCTGCTGCGAAAATAAGAGTTGGCCAGGAAAAGGAAAGTGCAGAAAACCCCCTCCGCGTAAACCACAGAAACAGGCAAATGAAGAGGCCCTGCAGGCCAAGAAGCCAAAGGGCGAGTTTGAGGAACTGAAAAGGTCCTTATTGATTCAGAAAAGGAACCTGAAACATTCCCCGTTTGCCTCCACTCCAACCTAATGTGTGTGTGGTTTTTTGCCTCTTGAGGACAGGGACTTAGTTGCAAATAATTATTGGCAAACAAACAAACAAAAAAGATTTTGGGATATATACGATTGTATGTGTGTGGAGAGAGTCAAGAGTCACTTTGGGGAAACATAGAGCCCAGGATAGATTTAGGTGAAGGGGGAAGATTTTATAAATCGAGAAGACTGGGACCTGGGAGACACAGGAGTGGAGGCAGGAACTTAGAGAGCTGTCGGAATCTGAGACCTCCCTTTTATCCGTTTTCTTCTCAGACCTTTACAGTCATCTCCCCTCCTCTCTTTACAGTCATCCCCCCCTCCTCTCTTCGTCCTGGCTCTAAGCATCCTTTAAAGTATTCTGGAAATTCACTTTATGTTAATTCAAAGCCTGCACCAAGCCAGATCTGCACCAGGCCAGATGTTCCCTAAGCACTGGGAGGCTGGGCAGTGGGTTTGAGTCATATAATCCTTCCATTTGAGCAGTTAAAAGTGAGAATGGGGCCAGGGACATGGCTCAGTGGGTAACATGATTGCCACACATGTCTGAGAACCTGACTTCAGATCCCCCAAGACAAATGTAAAAAGCCAGATGCTGCAATGTGTGTGTGCCTGTAATCCCAGCACTGGGAGACATACAGGGGAGGATCCTAGAGCCTCGCTAACAATCCAGTGTAGCCCAATTGTCACACTCCTGATTCAAATGAGAAACCTTGTCTGGAAAAAAGTAAGATGCAAAACAGTATCAGAAAGCACCTCTGGCCTCCATGTGCTTAGGCACACACACACACACACACACACACACACACACACACACACACACACACACACTCACATTCTAAATACACAGGGTTTGTTTTTTAAGCCAGTCTCTGAATATACAGGATTTTTGTTTGTTTGTTTCTGTTTTTTTTTTTTTTTTTTTTTTTTTTCAAAATAGGGTTTCTCCATACCCTTTGCTGTCCCAGAGTTCTCTCTGGAGACTAGTCTGGCCTCCAACTTATAGAGATACTCCTGCCTCCAAAGTGCTGGGATTAAAGTTGTCCACCACCACCATCAGTGGAAGTTTTTGTTTGTTTGTCTTTTTCTTTTGTTTTTTAAAGATTTTATTTATTATGTATACAACATTCTGCTTCCATGTGTATCTGCACACCAGAAGAGGGCACCAGATCTCATAATGGATGGTTGTGAGCCACCATGTGATTGCTGGGAATTGAACTCAGGACCTCTGGAAGAGCAGTGAGTGCTCTTAACCTCTGAGCCATCAATCCAGCCCATTGTTTGTCTTTTTCAATACAGGGTTTTTCTGTGTAGCTTTGAAGCCTGTCCTGGAACTTGCTTTGTTGACCAGGCTGGCCTCAAACTCACAGAGATCCACCTGCCTCTACCTCCCTGTACTACACCACCTCCTGGCTTTTCCTTCCTTCCTTCCTTCCTTCCTTCCTTCCTTCCTTCCTTCTTTCCTTCCTTCCTTCCTTTCCTTAATTTATTTTATTTATTTTGGTTTAGAATTTTTGTTTTTTAAGTAGACTCTCTAGAGATACTTGACCTGGAGGGGTATCTGGTTAAGGGTCTCTCCTGACCAAGCTGAGGTGGCTCATGCCTTTAATTCCAGCACTTGGGAGTCAAAGACAGGCAGATGTCTGTGAGTTCGAGTTCCAGTTCTGTGGAACTCTCTACAGAGAGAGTTCCAGGACAGCCAGGGCTACACAGAGAAACCCTGTCTTGTGGGGGAAGGCAGGGGGGTCTCACCTGTGCCAGGATGCTTTCCCATCTGCTTTCTTCTAGTCCTGGGGCTTTTGTTTCTTCTTTTTACTATTCACAGTGCAAGAAGCTCATTTCTTTTCCTTAGGAGATCTTCATAGACTCAGAAGCATAGTGTTGGCAAGGGTCTCAGAGATCATGCAAGCCTAACAAAGGAATTTTCAGAGTGGTTTGGCAAACTTTGACCTTTAGGCGCCTTTTAATGCTGTATTTATTTAATGTTTATTATTATTGCATCACTGTTATTAATTGATGACTGTTATCTGGCTCACAGAGCCTGCCTTCAGGCTTAGAAGTCTGAGTGGAACAGGCCTCGGCACAGAAGAAGGAGAACCTGACCAGAAAAAGTGGGTAGCTAGCCATGAGGGTCTTGGGTCTGTTCTCTGAGACTCCCTCAAGTTTGTCTCTCCTTCCCCTGGGGTGGTCTTGAAGAAGTGACTTTTGTAAGAGTGAAAAAGCTGGTGTACTTGATGGGTATAAGAGAAAGACTGTTGGAAACATTCATGTTTCCCCCTTCTGGAACACCACATGCTGAAGCCGTGGGAGAATGGAGTGGAGGTGTCAGGACAATGATGAGTTTGCAAGGAGTGCAGAACAGGTGTGGGGAGGGAGCCGGATGGTCCAGGAAGAAGCAGAGAGGTGAGAACCTTGGTACATTGGAGACTCTGAGATCACCAGCTTATAATTGGGACTTTTGTGTTCCAAGTTCTCCAGGTATCAGTTGATGTACTTGTTACATAAAATTCCACCAAACAAACCTTTGGGGGTAGTGCTGACATCTGTGTGTGTGTGTGTGTGTGTGTGTATGTGTTAAACTCCACTCTTGGTGATAAAACAGTGCAGATAGCTAGGTGGTGGTGGCTCATGCCTTTAATCCTAGCACTCAAGAGGCAGAGACAGGTGGATCTCTGTGAGTTTGAGACCAACCTTGGTCTACAGAGTGAGTTCCAGGACAGGCTCCAAAGCTACAGGGAAACCATGTCTTGAAAAAAACCTAAAACAAAACAAAACCCCCAAACAGTCTAGATGCCTCACTTAGCCTGCAGACAAAATTCCACTCAGAGGAGGCCACATGAACTCCATCAGCAATAATTAGCAAGCATCCAACATGTATAGGGCACTTTTGAAGACCCCCGAATGTCTAAGCTGGGTCTTACAGGGATCATACCCATCTGTCTCACAGAGAGGCCCGGTGAAGGCAGGAGCACATGGGCCTAGTTCAGAACATCCTTGGGGTGTCAGGAGACTGGGTCCTAGAAGCCTCTATAGGGCATCAACCCCTTTCCCAGGGCCATGGGTGTATCACACGCTGAAGGCAGTGGCTGCAACCTGGCTAATTGTTAACACCCTTTGCTCTTTCACGGTGAGCATAGAAGGTGGGACCTTGTTTTCCATGTCCCTGTCCCCAGTGCCCAGCACACAGCAGTTGCTTAATAACTGCTTGAGCAGAGTAGGAATAAGAAAATACAAGCACACAAACTGGAGCACAGTAACTTGGCAGCCAGAGAGAACTGGGGACACTGGAAATCACGAAGACGCCCATTCATTACCTGAGTACCATAACTGTTGAATGGTTATACTGAAGTTCATGCTTACCGGAAGTAGGTGATAGTGTATAGTTGTTTCTAATGTATAACTGTTGAGATGATTATTAAATTTTAGGTACTGCAGGGCAGATCATTAATAGTTGTGAATGTGAGTAGAAGAGTGACATTTTTCTTTCTATGCCGTTAGCGGAATATACATGAATATTTTTTTAAAGATTTATTTATTATGTATAGTATTCTTTCTGCATGTATCCCTGCAGGCCAGAAGAGGGCACCTATGGAGCTCAGAGGGCAGTGTGCCTGTAGAAAGAGGTCAGAGGGTAGTGTGCCTGTAGAAAGAGGTCAGAGGGCAGTGTGCCTATAGAAAGAGGGCAGAGGGCAGTGTGCCTATAGAGCTCAGAGGACAGTGTGCCTGTAGAAAGAGGGCAGAGGACAGTGTGCCTATAGAAAGAGGGCAGAGGGCAGAGGGCAGAGGGCAGTGTGCCTGTAGAAAGAACTCAAGAGGGCAGTGTGCCTGTAGAAAGAGGGCAGAGGACAGTGTGCCTATAGAGCTCAGAGGGCAGTGTGCCTGTAGAAAGAGGCCAGAATATGGTGTCCATGAGTCTGTAGGTCCTGGAGACAGAACTGAGCTCACCAGGTTTGGTAGTGCCCTCTTTACCTGCTGAACCACCTCTCCAGCCCCACATATTGTTTATTTTTTGTGACACGAATCTCACCGTGTGGCTCTGGCTGTCCTGAATTTTATGTACAGAAGGCTGGTCTTGAACTCACAGAGATCCTCCTGCCTCTGTTTCCCAAGTGCTACAATTAAAGGTGTGCACCACCATGCCTGGCTCCATTTTTTTTTTTTTTTTTTTTTTGAGACAGGGTTTCTCTGTGTAGCTTTGGAGCCTATCCTGGCACTTGCTCTGTAGACCAGGCTGGCCTTGAACTCACAGAGATCCACCTGCCTCTGCCTCCAGAGTGCTGGGATTAAAGGCGTGCACCACCCACACCCGCATCTGGCTCTGTTTTGAGATTTTTTTTTTTTCCTTGTTGCCTGTGTTGCCCTGGTTGGTCTTGAATTTACAATCCTCCTGCCTCAGCTTCCCAAATAGTTCAGATTAGAGATATTAGCGGTTGTGCTTTCTTTCTTTTAGTAAAGTGATGGCAGTTAAGGTATAAAAGCTGGGAATGGACAAGCAATAATGAACTCTATCTGTGGCCTAGAACTAATCTCCAAACAGAATATTGGTTTGATCCAGGCTAGGAAGGGACACCTGCCCAGGTTTGTTTGGCTGCATGCTGGCCTCACAGAAGCTCTCACTCAGCAGGCTGCCCCGTGTTTCCCTTCTCCAGTGTGCAAGTATGTTGCAGTGGAGCTTAAGTCAGCTTTTGAAGAAACCGGGAAGACCAAGGAAGTGATCGACACAGGCTATGGCATTCTGGATCGGAAGGCCTCCGGAGTCAAGTACACCAAGTCGTAAGTAAATGGGAGTTGGTGCCTGGCCTGCTTTTATTTCGGTTTTGTGTGTGGTGGGGGTTGAGGAATTAAGGTTGAATAAGGAATGAGGCTGTGTGGGCCCTGTTTTCTGTCTATCCAGGCAAACCAAAAGACTTTGGTCACAATAATGGACTCAAATTTGTCCACTGTTTCTGCCACTTTAGGTTAGGTGAACTTCATAAATCCTTTCTCTGTGCCTCAAATTCCTCATCTAGAAAAGTGAGACTGTGACCAGGTGAATCCCTGAAGCCACAAACTCTCACCACCTGTGTAATTTATAAAAAATATTGCTGGGCAGTGATGACATATGTCTTTAATTCCAGTGTGTGGGAGCAGAGGCAGGTGGATCTCTGAGTTCAAGGCCAGCCTGGTCAATAGATCTAGTTCCAGGACAGCCAGGGCTACAAAGAGAAACCCTGTCTGAAAAGATGAAACAAAACAAACAAACAAAAAATTGTTAACATGGGATTACCAAAGTTGTTTTGTTTTTTTTAATTAACTATTTTTGGGCAGGGTTTCTCTTTGTAGCCCTGGCTGTCCTGGAATTCACTGTGAAGACCAGGATGACCTTGAACTCATAGAGACCCACTTCCCTCTGCCTCCTGAGTGCTGGGATGAAAGGTGGGCATCAGACAGATTACCAGATTTGATTTTGCCAGATATTTAAAAAACAAAACCAACTCTGTCATTTAAGATCATCTTTTCAAAATGACATGATGGGGGCTGTAGTTTCGGTGGTTAAAAGCACTTGTTTCTCTTTCAGAGGTCCAGGGTTCAATCCCCAGCACCACATAACAGTGTACAGCCATCTGTAACTACAATTCCAGGGCATCCAACACCTGCCTGTGGTCTGTTTGGGTGCTGCATACACATGGTACACAGACATGCAGGCAGAACACCCACACACATAAAATAAAAGTTGGAAGAAATTAAAGAAGCCAGGTGGTGATGCTCTGTAGACCAGGCTGGTCTCGAACTCACAAAGATCCACTTGCCTCTGCCTCCTGAGTGCTGGGATAAATGAGTGCACCACCACTATCTGGCAACAACGCCTAAATTATAAAACAATTTTCTTGACTTAACTTTAAAAAGACGTGCTTTGCCATCAGAATGATACATGTCTAGTTACAGTGGGCATACCCATAGTCCTTGCACTAGGAAAAGGTGGAGGTGGAAGATTATTGCAAGTTTGAGGCCCCTTTGGTCTACCCTGAGAGTTCTAGGCTGTCCAGAGCTACATAGAGACAGAACACAAGTCCAGGTAAGCAAAAAGACACATGCTGGGTATGGCATCTCAAACCTGTCATCCCAGCAGCTGGAAGGAAGGATGATGACAAGTTTATGTTCCTCTTCTACTCGGGCATGATGGCTAGTATCAATTACCAACCTGACAGACTCTGAATCCATGGGGGTGGGCCCCTGGGCATGTCTGTGAGGGATTATCTAGATTAAGGTTAGCCTCTGAGAATGCCTATAGAGATTTAGCTTGACTACGGACTTTTTTTTTTTTTTTTTTTAAGATTTTATTTATTTTTTATGTATACAGTCTTCTGCCTGTGTGCCAGCAGAGGGCACCAGATCTCATTCAAGGTGGTTGCCGGGAATTGAACTCAGGACCTCTGGAAGAACAGTCAGTGCTCTTAACCGCTGAGCCATCTCTCCAGCCCCCGACTACAGACTATTAATCCATCAATTATGTGGCAAGACTTTTATTGGCAAAACATCGAGTCATGGTTTCTCTGTGTAGCCCTGGCTGTCCTGGAACTCAATCTGTAGAACATGCTTGCCGGGAATTCAGAGATCCGACTGCCTCTGCCTCCCAAGTGCTGTGATCAAAGGTGTGTGCCACCACACCTGGCCATATTTTTGGAGTTGAATGGAGTTGAATTATTAAGTATACAGCAAGCCAGAGTAAAAGAATAAATAGCAGATAGGTGGATATCTAGGAAGACAGACAGATGGACAGAAAGCATTAAATGAGGTGTCAGAACATCTAAAAGAGCTGGGCAGTGGTGGTACACTCCTTTAATCCCAGCACTCTGGAGGCAGAGGCAGGTGGATCTCTGTGTGTTCGGAGGTCAGCCTGATCTACAAGAGCTAGCTCCAGGACAGGCTCCAAAGCCACAGAGAAACCCTGCCTCAAAAAATCCAGAAGAAACTGACAGGGGAACCCCTGTAAGCAGCCAGCTACAGTTCCCCCTTCAGAAGTCCCTACAGACAAGTGTCCCTTCAAGTAAGGCTTCCAAGTAAAAGAACAGCAATGGAGGTAAAATCAGATCAAGCTCTCACCAACATTTACCAGAAACTAGGCAGTTGAGACAGTCAGCTGGGGTTCCCTGTTGAGCTTTCTGTCCGTGGTAAACCAGTCATGGCTGAACTCCCAACTTCTCTTTCCCATGTCAGGCATTTGTCATGGGATAAGCAGTGATAGCATCTGTTGGAAACAGTTTATCTTCTAGCTGTGCTCAAGGGCCCAGGGTCCAGAATCAGCTGGGAGATGAGTCTCTGTCTCTTATGCCCATTTTATTGTTTTCTCCTCCTTGGCACACAGTGGGGACCAGCCCATCCCCAGACAAGAAGCCTTGAGGACACTCAGAAAAACATGCTGAAAGGGGGTGTGCAGCCCATGGGACACACAGAATTAGCTTTTCAGTGAGCTCAAACAACACATGGTGGTTTATGATATAATGTACATTTCACTGTGATTAGCACTCATATTGATGCCTGAACTATTGATCGTTGTTTGCTTTGTCTGTTCCATGTTGGTTTTACAAAAAACAAAAAAAAACAAAAAACAAAAAAACACTACCAGGTAGGTAAACCTTCCAACCAGATGGGTAAAGTTTTGCCGTGCTTAGCATAGACAGGTCTGCCAGATCCCAAAGGAGATGGTGAAGTCATGACCTGAGAGGTGCAGACAAAGACTTGAAAGAAATGGTTTGCCAGGCGGTGGTGGCGCACGCCTTTAATCCCAGCATCTGGGAGGCAGAGGCAGGCGGGTCTCTGAGCTCAACACCAGGGTTGTCTGCATGGCAAGTTCCAAGCAATCCAGGGCTGCATAGTGAGACCCTGTCTCCAAAAAACAAAGAGAAAGAAATCAGTGGTTAATAGGAGCTGGGGGATGGCTGCTGGGAAAGTGCTTGTTGTGTAAGCATGAGGGTTTGGTTTTGGTCCTCAGCACCTACATAAAAAGCCAGGCAGAGTGGCACTTACCTGTGATCCCAGTGATGGGGGGGGGGGTGGCTGGACGGGAGGGATGCTCCATACCTGTGTCTAGTCCAGAAGATAAGCTGCAGATTCAGAGAGACCCTGTCTCAAACAATGGAAAGTGACCAAGGAAGACACCTGACATTGACTGTGGCCTCCACATGTGTATATGCACACATGAACATGTACACATACATACCATGGACATATATCAAAAAAAGTGATTAAGCAGTGCAGTGATGGCGCACGCCTTTAATCCCAGTACTCGGGAGGCAGAGGCAGGCGGATCTCTGTGAGTTCGAGGCCAGCCTGGTCTACAGAGCGAGTTCCAGGATAGGCTCCAAAGCTACACAGAGAAACCCTGTCTCACAAAAGAAAAAAGAAAAATTGACTAATAGTTGTTTCCAGGGAGCGCTGGGAAAGACCTATTTATGATATCTTCACTAATAGTGAAAAGTACTATTTTTTTAAAAAAAGGACTGATACATTTTTGCTTTATAGGGAAAAGGGAAAGTAGCAGACACTTGTCTTACTATGGATGATACCCTGAATCTGATTCCCAGGATCACAGATATTTTTAAAAAGTGGGAGGTAGGCTGGGCGTTGGTGGCACATGCTTTTAATCCCAGCACTCAGGACACAGGCAGATCTCTGTGAGTTTGAGGCTAGCCTCAGCCACAGAGCAAATTCATAGACAGACAGACAGACAGACAGAAACCTTGTCTCAAAAAACAAAGGGAAAAAAGTGGGAGGTGGAAGGACAGCTCAGCAGTTTAGAATACTTGCTGCTCTTCTAGAGGCCTGGGTTCATTTCCCATTACACATGTCAGACAGCTCACCACGAGATCCAGTGCCTTCTCCTGGCCTTCACCAGCACTTGCACACATGTGGCGTCTGTGTGTTTATACACAGAGACACACAAACACACAAAAGTAGATACTTTATAACCGCTGTGGCTGTCCTGGAACTCACTGCCGGCAGAAGTAGATACTTTTAAAGTAAAAACAAATAGATTGGTTTGGGGTGAGACTCAATGGTTGAGCTCTTGCCTGGCCTGGGCAAGGCCCTGGCTTTGCTACAGGTTCTATAAATGTGCCCTGCCCCCCATGCACGCAGATCCTTCCTTTAGATCTGTTAAAACCTTGTCTCTCTGGTCTGTGTTCCAGCATTTCAGAGCCCCCAGGCCAGATGACCTATCTTCCTTCCAGCTCTGCCTTCCCGTTGGTGAGATGTGCAAGCATTGGGCAGCAGGGCTGGAGGGACCGACCGCTACTCTGTGGGGTTGGGAGGAGAACTTAGCTCTTCTCCTGCTGCTGTCTCGGCAGGGACTTACGGTTAATTGAAGTCACTGAGACCATTTGCAAGAGGCTTCTGGACTACAGCCTGCACAAGGAGAGGACTGGCAGCAACCGGTTTGCCAAGGTTGGCTTTGTGCTTGTGCCTCATTCCCTCTGGGGCCCGGCTCTTGTGAATCTAAGTATGTTTGCTTGTGGTGTGTGTGTACACGCACGCTCGAAAGTGTGATTGGCAGGTCGTGCCTGAGGACCCTTCTTTCTTTCCTCTGTCACATTCTTTTTTTTTTTTAATTCTTTTTTTTATATTTTTTTATTTATTATATATACAGTTAATCTGCATGTATGCTTGCACACAAGAAGAGGGCACCAGATCTCATTACAGATGGCTGTGAGCCACCATGTGGTTGCTGGGAATTGAACTCAGATCCTCTGGAAGAGCAGTCAGTGCTCTTAACCTCTGAGCCATCTCTCCAGCACCCCCTCTGTCACATTCTTGTATAGCTGTTTGTATTTCTTGCTGAGCATGGACTCTGCAGTGGCATAAGGTGTATTTATGATGGCCCGGGCTTGCCCCAGGTTCCACCTCCATGTCAGGAAAAGGCAGAAATGCCCCGGGGTTGGAAGCTCACATGGGTATCAAAAACACTAGGACTCAGCAAGATTCACACAACAGTGTGCCAGGGAGATTCCAGAAGACAGACATGATGGAGGTGGAGGCACAAGGATCAGGAGTTAGGAGTTCAAGGCTAGCCTCAATTACATAGTTTGAGGCTGGCCTGGGTTACATGAAATCCTGTCTTAACAATTAAAAAAAAAAAATCAATGATTGTCTGTTCTTCCCATGAGTCACCAAGAGCCACCTCCTCAGGCCCTGGTGGTACCTGTGTACACAGGTGTTTTCCCTGGAGAAGGAAGGAGCTGTAGGTTATGTCTTGTGTCTTTCGTGCCTGCCACCCACATTTTCCTCCTGTCTGAGGATGTCAGACATAACTCCTGAGACCCCTCAGTATCTCAAGTAGAAATCTTAGCTTTGTCTTTAAAACTTACATGAATTTAGTTAGTTAATCCACGATTGCTTTCATAAAAAGTGTCTCAAATTATTTCTCCTCCCCAAGTGTTGTGTCACATACCTGTTTGTCCCGGAATTTAGGAGGCAGGAAGACCTGAACTTTGAGGTCAGCTTGGCTACACAAGCGACAAAGTACAAAAACCAAAAACCTGGTTGCAAATTATTAGAAACATTCTGTTAACCAACAGAGTACAGGTTACACTGTGCATCTGCTGTGGGACAGTGCAAAACAAAACTAAAGCCAGGCAAGGAGTGTGCACTGGCAATCCCAACACTCAAGAAGCAGAGGCAGGTGGGCCTCTGAGTTCTAATCCAGTCCAGGCTACACAGCAAGTTCTAGGCCAGATAGGGCCGCATAATGAGATTCTGTCTCCAAAAAGAGGGCAGAGGTGGGGGGCAGGAAACCACAGGAGGCAAAGACCCTGTGATGTACTACTGCTTAGTAGCAAAGTTGTGGGGGAAGATGGATTGGATTTTCCCAGTTTGTTTGCACAAACCAGGCCAACGTGTGTGTGTGTGTGTGTGTGTGTGTGTGTGTGTGTGTGTGTATGCAAACATAAAATCGATTTTCTTTACATATTTTCTAGTTGAATAAATATATTTTAGAGAAAAATCGGTTACAAATATAGTCATTTATGAAGACCCTGGTTATTAGGGAAATTACTTCACTGTGAAATCTAATTTTAGAAAAAGATTTAAGATGATTAAAAAGAAAGAATAGTGGGGTCGTGGTGGTGTAGCCTTTAATCTGAACACTGGGGAGCCAGAGGCAGGCAGATCTCTATGAGTTCAAGGCCAGCCTAGTATACAGAGTGAGTTCCAGGACAGCTACAGCTGTTACACAGAGAAACCCTGTCTTAAAAACCAAAACAAACAAAAATTTAAGAATGCTTGCAGCCACTTTTTATCTAATAAATTTTTATGTCACCCTGGGTGTATGTACATCACATAAATGTAGACATCAGACAGTTCTTAGGCTAGGAGATGGCTCAGTGAATTAAGTGTAAGGACTGAGTTTGGATCCCACTACCTTAAAAAGCCAGATGCAGTAGGATGTGCCTGTTACCCCAGTGTTATGCAGCATGAGGGAGGTGGCCCCAGAGAATCTCATGGTCCAGCCAGTTTGGCCGTACGCAGTGACAGATGAGAGACCTGTCCCTAATAGGGTTGAGGGGGAGACTGGCACCCAGGGTTGCCCTGTCTCCACGTGCGCACCCCATAAACACACAACATGCACAGAGACTAAAAACAAATAAATATTGGCTGAATGCTCGATGCTGTAGGCGTGGCATCTCCACCGCTCTTCAGAGTTGATTTATATTTTGATTTTGTAGTCTTAAGTGCTAAGAGCCTCTGCTTTATGTACATATGTATCCAGCATGGCAGAAGTTTGTATAGAGCCACTTAAGAAATTGGAAATTCTGTCCTCAAACCAAGTCCATATTTTTACTAAATACTTTTTATGAAACTCAGGTCAGGTTTCTATGAAACATGAACAGCAATTTTTATTTATCTGTTTGTGTATTGTGAGGCAGAGTTTCTCTGTTATGTAGCTCTGGCTGTCCTGGAACTCATTCTATAGACCAGGCTAGCCTCCAACTCTCAGAGATCCACCTGCTTCTGTCTCCCAAGTGCAGTAATAAAGGTGAACACCACCATACCTGACTTATTTTTATTTTTGTTTTTTAAATTTTGAGGCAGGGTTTCACTATATAACCTTGTTTGGCCTAGAACTTATTGTATAGACCAGGCTGGCTCTGAACTCACAGAGATCCATCTGCCTCTATCTCTGTCTCTAGAATCCTGGGATTAAAGGTATGAGCTGCCATTCCCAGCCTTAAACTACAATTAGAAAAAAATCAAACATTGTAGCATTATACAGCCCAAAAATATTTATCCGATACTTGCAGGATAAATAATGGTGATAAGAAGTATTTGAAGTATTTTTTTTCCATAACTAAACTATTTGTTTGCATAAGAGTGTCCAGCCACATGAAAGGGATGGAGCCAAGGACATCTTATTTCCTGGGAAAGAAATGTAAATTCATAGGCCAGAGAGCAACAGCAGATAGATTTGAACATACATCGGTGAGGGGCAGGTTAGGGGGTGTGGTGGATTGGGGGTTGTAGAAGGCCAGCCTGAAAGAGGGGGAGAGGTTGGGGCTAAGGGTGAGAAGTCCTGGCCAGATGGACATCTTTGACCCAGGTTCTCAAATGTCAGAGAGAGGAAGGTAGCAGGTAGGAATGGAGCTGCATCCATGCCTGGTTGCCTCTTCCAGGGCATGTCAGAGACCTTTGAGACGCTGCACAACCTAGTCCACAAAGGGGTCAAGGTGGTGATGGACATCCCCTATGAACTGTGGAATGAGACCTCTGCAGAGGTAGCCGACCTCAAGAAGCAGGTAAGGGCCCTGTAGCCTGCTGCACTCAGTGGGGTGCATAGGGCTGACTCTACACTGAGGAAGGCTACCAAGAGCCATTCTTTTATCTTTCCTTCCTATCCGTCTGTCCGTCCGTCCGTCCATCCATCCATCCATCCATCCATCCATCCATCCACCCACCCATCTATCTATTTCTTGGAGATAGATTCTCACTATGTAGCTCTGGCTTACCTGTAACTCATTATGTAGAACAGGCTGGACTGAAACTCACAGAAATACACCTGCCTCTGCCTCAAGAGTGCTGGGGTGAGAGGCATGTGGCACCATTTCTGGTACCTTTTCCTTTTGCCTCAGTTTCACTGGGTGAGTGGTACCTGCCTGTTTATTCCTGTGTGGGTCGTGGTGGAGCCAGGTGCCTGGGAGAGTTGGGAGCCTGGGTATCCCCAGTCCCTGGTGCTGTACTTCACAGTGTGACGTGCTGGTGGAGGAGTTTGAAGAGGTGATTGAGGACTGGTACAGGAACCACCAGGAGGAAGACCTGACTGAATTCCTCTGTGCCAACCACGTGCTGAAGGGCAAGGATACCAGTGAGTGAGGGCCGGCTGGAGGGGGCAGGGCAGTGTCTCCATTATCTGCCTTCCCTTGGGAGAGGTGTGTGGCATAGGGTGGGAAAGTAGAGGGCCTCTTGCCCTCAGGGAGCTTGATGAGATGAGGTGAGGTAATGGCCCCAGGCACAGGATCCTGCAGGGGAACTGAGCCTGTTCGCCACATGGGGAGAAGCATGAGAGGGGAGAGGCATGCGTTGCTTTCGCTCCTCCCAGCAGCTCCCTTTCAGTCCTGCTCCCCAGCAAGCTGACCCTGAAGCCTTTCTGTACCTTCCCTCAGGTTGCCTGGCAGAGCGGTGGTCTGGCAAGAAGGGGGACATTGCCTCTCTAGGAGGGAAGAAATCCAAGAAGAAGCGTGGTAGGGTCAAGGGCTCCAGCAGCGGCAGCAAGCAGCGGAAGGAGCTGGCGAGTCTGGAGGGGGATGCCAGCCCTGAGGAAGAGGAGGGTGTGCAAAAGGCCTCCCCCCTCCCACACAGCCCTCCTGATGAACTGTGAGCCCAACTTAGTGTCCTTGAATCAAGATCCCAACTCAAGAGCATGGGACGTGGCTCCAGCGAGATGGCTGTTGTTCAGCTTCCGGTCTCCTACCTTGGCTGTGCCCTCTTCCTGCCCTTGAGCAACAGCAAGAAGTGGACTGATCTGGGGGTGGGAGAGGAGGAGGGTGTGCAGAAGGCAGCTCTCTTGCTACGCAGCCCCCATCACGAGCTCCGGGTCCAACCCAGCATCCCCAAACTGAGACCCCTGACCTTGAAGCTGAAGAGCATGAGACACAGAAGACTCCTCCAGCTTGCCTGTAGCTTCTTCAGCAGGATGGACACAGCCCTCGTCAGGACTTAGTGCCATGTGGCAGCCAGACCCGCGTCTTGCTCCACCACATGTTCTCTTCTGCTGGGTCCCTGGTCAGGTCATGAGTTTCCGAACTTCTAGGATGAACTCAGCCCAGTGTGGCACAAGGGGCTGAGGACCAGAGCTGGAGTCACTGCAGAGCCAGCAGAGAGGGCACCTCACCTGACCCCATGGGGAAGCAAAACTGCAGCCACAGCCGCTCCCCACCTCCACCCACTCATGAGGACAACTTGTGCTCTGCCCAGTCCTCCTCCCCAGGGCTACCAGAGTAAACACCTTTCGGCCTTTTGGTTCCGGTTCCTGGGTCCTTTCAGCCTCCAAAGTGTCTCCTCCTTGCTCTTTTCTGCCTGTCTCTCCCAGTCCTGGGGGCTGGGAAAGTGACGATGCTCCCACCCTCATTACCAGTTACTAAGAGGAGCAGGTGCTGAGAGTGCCCAGGGTTAGTTTGGGTTAAAGCAGTGGTTCTCACCCTTCCTAATGCTGCAACCCTTTAATACAGTTCCTCATGTTCTGGTGACCCCCAGCCATAAAATTATTTTCGTTGCTACTTCATAACTGTAAATTTGCTACTGTAGAATCTTAGTTTTGGATTTTTGGAGATAGAGGTTTGTCAAAGGGGTCACAACCCACAGATTGAGAACCACTAAGTTAAAGGTAGGAGCCATGGGATGAAGGAGCATGGTGACTGACCCTGTCCTCCAGCTGACCCTCCGACAGCAGCTGCCTGTGCTTCCCAAGGCCCGTCCCACTCTACTCCTGGGTGCCTCCTGTGCCCTGTGTCCTGGGCACCTGGCTGCCCTCGTTCCCTCTCTACCCAAGGCTTTGCTGGCCGCTGTGTAAAGAGTATGTACACATCACTGCCTGCTCCCACCCTCCTGCCGTATTCCGACCTTACCTGTTCTTGGACCTTGCTCCCTAATTGGTCACATTTGGCCCCTCAGTGTTTAGGGGTTGGGTAGGAGGGGGGCTGGGGCCTGGGGTTAGGAGTCAGAGAACCCAACCTCTGGATCATTTCGTTGGTGGCCAGTCTCTGACCATCCTGTCACTAACCCACTGCACTTCCTGTCCACAGAGCATCATTGATCCCAAGAGGAGGATGAAGCAAAGCCCTGTCCATGTCCAGGGGTGTTGACCCAACGACCCAATCCTAGTCTGGTCTAGGCCTGAGGGCATGTGTGGGGACTGTCACACTTTGACCTCAGCTCTTGTAGGGGTTGTTCCCTGCCTCCAAGGACTTGGTATTGCACCCTCACTAGCTCCCCTGCCACTGCCCACCCTACAGGCAGGTAGACCTGGCCCGGTGTAGATAGGTAAAGGCAGGATTGGCTGCCCAGGCTGGTATCCCCACCATTTATAGGAACCTGTTAATTTTGCTGTTGCCTACACTTTGATAACTTCCCACCCCAGCTTCATTAGCTGGAGATGGAGTTAAGAGTCCCTCAGCAGAAACCTTTGAGGAGAGCCGGAGAATGGCCTGAAGTACTTATTGGGAGGGAGACCAACTGGAAACTCCATGCTTCACACTTCATTGTGTGTGTGTGTGTGTGTGTGTGTGTGTGTGTGTCATGTGTGCATGCTTGTTTATTTGACAAGTCTCTCTGGCACAGGCTGACCTAGGTAGGACTTGCTAGCCAAGGCTGGCACTGAACTTGTGAACCAGCTGTGTTACAAGTATGTGTCATGTCCTGCTCTTGTGGACCTTAAGATAAAGCTAGGTGGAACACACACCACCATTTAGAAGTAAAGAATAGAACTCTAGTGAAGTCACATTGTGTCTGGGGCTTGTCCTCAGAAGTGACTTGCCAGACCCTAAGACTGCCAATTAATTATCAGTGTGATTCAATTTCCTTTGGAGCTGGGGATCAAACCCAGGGCCTCACCAAGCAAGGTGAGTGGTTTTACCCCTGAGCTACATCACCAGCACTACTGGTCATTCACAGGTGACATTTCTCCAGCAGCTTTTAAATCCCTGAGCACTTCCCAGATCCTCGGGCACACTGGAAGAGTTTTAAGTGACCAGCCTGCCCTCTTAAGTGTTCTTTTCCCTGGGAGCATGGTGGGAGTAATGAAGGGGGAAATGAAAATGTGTCCCACACTGCCTAGCTTTTCAAATCCATCCGGCCTGACCTTTGGCATGTGATTGCCCTGGCAAGCCATGACTACATAACAAGGCTGTCTAAAAAGACAAAGCAGGTCTGGTGTGCTAGTGCGCTTGGGAAACAGAGGCTAGTTGGAACTGCATAGGAGACCCTGGGTCAAAGACAGAATTGGCCAGGTGGCTCAGTGAGTCAAGGCGCTGATTACCAAGCCCAACCAGTCATTTCCCCACTGTCAAGTTATCACTACATGCTCCCCTTATTTTAATTAATTAATTAATTAATTTTGATATTTTTGAGACAGGGTTTCTCTGTGTCACAGCCCTGGGGGTCCTAGAACTCACTCTGTAGAGCAGGCTGGTCTCGGAACTCACAGAGATCCACCTGCCTCTGTCTCCCTGAGCGCTGGGATTAAAGGCCTGCGCCACCACTGCTCCGCAACAAATTGTGGTTTTTGTTTGTTTGTTTGTTTGTTTTGTTTTTTTGTGAAGAATGTGTCTTTTAGTGGGGTGTGGTGCATAATCTCAGCATTTAGGAGGCAGATGCAGGAAGATTGCCACAAGTTCAACACCAGTCTGGTTTGTATACAAGATCTAGCCCAGCCAGGTAGCCAGCTACAGAATGAGACCTCCCCTCCTCCTGCCCCCCGCCCCAGGTTAGATACCTGTAATTCCAGCATTTAGGAAACTGAGGCAGGATTGCCTGGAGTTCCAGACCTACATAGTGAGACCCTGTTTCAGAACAGAATTTAAAAGAAAAGAAAAATCTGGGGCCAGAGAGATAGCTCAACACCGTTAAGAGCACTGGCTGCTCTTCCAGAAGTCCTAAATTCAATTCCCACCAACCACATGGTGGCTCGCAACCATCTGTAATGGGATCTGGTGCCCTCTTCTGGCCTGCAGGTATACATGCAGACAGAACACTATAAATAAATCTTTTAAAAAATCTGACACTGGGTTCGACAACAACCCCCTCACTAGCATTACTAAATAAGCTTCCTACTTAAACAAGAACAATATTACTAGGGAGAAACCCCAACCTCATAGAGGTGGTCACATGGGCTTTCCTGACAAGAGGGTGCACCAAGTGCTGCTTCCACTGAGAAGGAAACACTTGTTTGGAGGCAGTGTCTCAAACGCTGTAGTCTGGGCTGGAACTTAGCAGGCTGCTCTCACATTTGTGGAATTCTCCTGCCCCAGCCTCCCAACTCTAGGATTAAAGCCTGAGCCACCATGTCCTAGTTAATTCCTTTTTTTGAGATGTTTTCACTTTGTTGCACGGGCTGGTCTTGAACTCCTGAGCGCACATGACTTCCTGCCATAGCTTCCTGAGTAGATGAGACTATCTATACAGATGTATGCAGGGGCCCATGAATACAGTCATCTAAGCTGGGTGTAGTGACTCATGCCTGTAACCCCAGCATCCAGGAAGCTGAGGCAGGAGCCGGGCATTGGTGGCACACGCCTTAATCCCAGCACTCAGGAGGCAGAGACAGGAGTATCTCTGTGAGTTCGAGGCCAGCCTGGTCTACAGAGCGAGTTCCAGGACAGCCTCCAAAAAAATACAGAGAATCCCTGTCTTGAAAAACAGAAACAAAAACAAAAAAAGTCAAAACTAGACTATATAGTATCAAGTAGCCAGAGCTACAAAATAAGACTGTCCTAAATAGTGGTTCTCAACCTGGGGGTCACAACCCCTTTGGAGCTGAAGGACCTTTTCATAGGGGTCACATATCAGATATCCTGCATTTCAGATATTTACAGTTTATAAAAGTGGCAAAAGTAGCAATGAAATAATTTTTGGTTGGGGGTCACCACAGCATGAACTGCATTAAAGGGTGCCAGCATTAGGAAGGTTGAGAACCACTGGTCTGAAGCAACAAAAGGCCGCCGGCAAGATGGCTGAGCAGGTAAAAGTGTTTGCTTCAAAGCCTGATGGATGGCCTGAGTTTGAGCTCAGGAACCAGCTCTCACACGTCCGTGCCATTCCTGAACACACAATTTGTTGTTTTTTGAGACAGGGTCTCTACATAGCTCTGGCTGTCCTGGAACTCACTATGTAGACCAGGCTGACCTTGAACTCACACAGATTCAGCTGACTCTGCCTTTTTTAAAACCTAAGTAAATAAAAGATGACCATTTAAGATGAATGAAAAAGTCTAGGATTGTTAGATTTGCTCCAAGAATATTTTGATAAATGACATTGGATTTCCTTGAAATTCTCAAATATAATTTCTCTCTCTTCCCTCTGCAGGGACTAATGTAGTCCATCAGTGGCCTTGAGCTTTATGTACCCTAGAATAACCTTGAACTCCTGCTCTCACCCCCTCAGGCTCCCAAGTACTGGAATCACAGGTGTGCACCAACACACTCAGTTTCAGAGTCTGAATGAGCATAGTGTCACAGACCTGTGTGAGGGCTACTGAGCCCCGAGACTGTATTATCTGAGCCTGGACAGAACCATTGAGAATGGCTCTGTACTAACAATAAAAAGTTTTTTTAAAAAAGTGGGCTGGAGCAATAGCTTAACTGTTAATTAAAATCCATGGCTGCAGCTGGACGGTGGTGGTTCACATTTTAGTCCCAGTACTCAGGAGGAAGAGCAGGCAGATCTCTGAATTGGAGGTGAGCCTGGTCTACAGAGCAAGTTCCAGGACAACCAGGTGGACTTCACAGAGGAACCCTGTCTGGGTTCTGAAAAAACAAACAAATAAAAACCAAACAAAACCCAAACATTGCCTGCACTTCCATAGGATCTAGGTTCCATATCCCAGCACGCACATGATGGGGTCTGTAACTCCAGTTCCAGGGGATCTGATGCCCTCTTCTGGTTTCCACAGGCACCAGATACGCATGTAGGACACCGACATCTATGCAGTCAAAACAACCATACACATTACTTAAAAAAGTTAAAAACGATCGCACAATTGTGGGCGTTCTTCCAGCTCCTCAGTTTCACTGCACCCAGCCTTTAGGAGAGTGTTCGGTATAGCTCAGGGATTGGACGGCCCAAACTACTTCAGAAGGCCCCTGGCCTGAAAAGGGATGGGAGGAAGGAGGGGCCTGATGTCACCTAGAGAGACACACGTATCTCCAAGTGGACTCGGTTCTTTTTATTGAATAGACACATCAGCATCTTCGTCAAAGACTTTCTCCATCACCCGGAGAAACAGTGGCCCTTTTCTGTGTGGTGTTCCTTGTGTGGACTATTAGTGAGGGGCACCCTACTGTGCTGGGCGTGGTCTAATTCTGCTTAGCGGGTATTCCAAAGGTTTCTTCCCTTTCCCACTTGGGTAGGGATGGCTTGGGCACTCATTGATTTGTCTTCTCTCGGCTCCTCCTAGCTCCTGGCCGCCCAGCTGCGTTCTATCTGTTCTATCTCACTATGGGGAAACCCAGGTCCAGGATTGCCTGGCTGAGCCATCCATCCCCACTGCGGAGGCAGCCTGGCTCGGTTCCCGGGGCTCCGGGCCCAGCAGGGGCGTATCCCCTCTCTTACCTGCCATTGGCCAGGTGGACTGCCCGGCCTGAGGACTATAAGTGCGGAGCTCGCTCGCTCGCGGCCTGAGAGCCAGGCGCAGGTCAGGATGGTGGACAGCATTTACCGCACCCGCTCCCTGGGGGTGGCCGCAGAAGGGCTCCCGGACCAGTATGCGGACGGGGAGGCCGCACGCGTGTGGCAGCTGTACATCGGGGACACCCGCAGCCGCACCGCAGAGTACAAGGCGTGGCTGCTCGGGCTGCTGCGCCAGCATGGTTGCCGTCGGGTGTTGGACGTGGCCTGTGGCACAGGGTGAGTCCAAGCGAGCTGAGAGGGCTTAGCCAGGACGGCCCGCAGCACCGCAGGAAGGCCAGTGGGGGCGGCCTTCGAGGGCGGGAGCCTGGCAGGCAGCAGTCCCTGCCCTTGGGGTAGAATGGGCATGATGAAAGAAAGCACCTGTCAAAATAGTGTGGGAGGGGGCCGAGGAGACCTGGCCCGGGGCGAGGGTGCAAGCACAGGATTCATGGGACAGAGCAAAAGCCGGACTTCGAGTCAAGCTGGATCCTTGGCCCTAGCGCTGCTCCTCCTGTGATGGCCTCGGGTAGTGTGAACAGACCATGTGTGCCTCGTTTGCACAGCCAAATGCTGTGCCAAGAGTTTGGGTACATGTGTTTCAAACAACAAAACCCATGAGGTAAGTAGTGATTTTCTCCAATTAGTACCAAGGAAGCTCCAATTAGTACGAAGGCCCACATTTGGTGGAGCAGATGCAGACCAGGACAGTTAGTGTCTGTCCCATACTCGGACTCAGCACAGGGCACATACTGCATTTATTTCCAGGAGCCTTGGTAGGCTGAGTTCTCAAATGTACATTTGTATAGTGTCTGGTTCTGATGTTTTTTGTTTTTTGTTTTCCAGACATGGTTTCTCTGTAGCTTTGGAGGCTGGCCTGGAACTCGTTCTGTAGACCAGGATGGGCCTTGAACTCAGAGATCCGCCTGTCTCTGCCTCCTGAATGCCGGGCCCGATTACTTCTTTTTTTAAGTGTTGAGCTGGAGAGATGGTTCGCCACCAAGAGCCTCCACTGCTCTTGCATTACACAGGTGTTCAGTTCCTGGCACCTACATCAGGTGGTTCACAATAGTTTGTAACTCCATTCCAGAACAAAATGCCCTCTTCTGGCCTTGGAGGGCACTGCAGTCACATGCACACATACAGACATGATTAAAATTTAAAATTTAAGCTGGGTGGTCGTGGTCCATACCTTCAATCCCAGCACTTGGGAGGCAGGGGCAGGCAGATCTCTGTGAATTCGAGGCCAGCTTGGTCTACAGAGTTCCAGGACCGCTACAGCTACACAGAGAAACCTTGTCTTTCTGCAGGGGTGGTGTGGTGTGGGGGTGTTTAAAATTTAAATTAAAAATGTTGCTGCCAGGTGTAGTGGCACATACCTTTAATCCCAGCACACAGGGAGACCTATGTAGGTAGATCTCTGTGCACTCCAGGCCATACAAGGCTACAACATGAGACCCTATCTTTAATAGGCTGGAGGGATGGCTTAGCAGTTAAGAGTGCTTAGGCTCTTCCAGACCCAGCGTCTTCCTCTGGCTTCTGCAGACAGCAGGAATGCATATGATGCACATATTCAGACAAGACACATAAAATTACATTTAAATTTTTTTTCTCTTTTGAGGCAGGGTCTCTCTTTGTAGCCCTGGTTATCCTGGTATTCACTATGTAAACCAGGCTAAAAACCTTAAAAACAAAACAAAACAAAACAAAAAAAAACCCCAAAACTTGTTGCTATCTGGTGATAAGGAAATATACTCGTGCCTGGTGGTGGGGTGGCATACACCTTTAATCTCAGCACTCAGTAGGCAGAGGCATATGGATCTCTGAGTTTGAGGCCAGCCTGGTCTACAGAGTGAGTTCCAGGACTACCATGGCTACACAATGAAGTCCTGTCCCCACAAAAAAAAAAAAAAAGGAATATACTCATGGGATCACCTGAGGTCAGTGGAGGTGGCCTGAGACAGGGGGCAGAGGAAAGAACTATGAAACAGTATGTTTGGTAAAATGCCATGTGCATGGCATCCTCCTTGGCCTCCCACTCTCCCGACTGGCCCTCTCAGTCCCTCACCTCTGACCTCATCCAGAGTGGACTCTATTATGCTGGTGGAAGAGGGCTTCAGTGTGACGAGTGTGGATGCCAGTGACAAGATGCTGAAGTATGCACTTAAGGAGCGCTGGAACAGGAGGAAGGAACCAGCCTTTGACAAGTGGGGTATGTAGGTCCAGCCAGAGCCCCAGCCATACACTCCCAGGGCCACTCTTCTCTCTGCCCTGGCCTCTTTTGTGCAGAGTGGGCTGACCATTTTTCCTCAGGGTATAGTGCAGTTCCTGTCACCTTCCTAAAATGGAAGGCTTTGACATCATTTTGAGAGAGCAGGTATTAAGAATGAGATTGCTCTATCTTTGGTGCTTGGGTTGATCTTGGGCATGCTGAGTAGACACTTGACACCTGAGCCACACTGTCACACACTGTCAGCATTTTGTTTTCCCATGTTGCCTGCTCTAGCTAGGTTAGGTTCAAGTGATTTTCCTGCCTCAGGTTTCCAACCAGCAGGGACTAGAGGTGCACACCATATGCAGGGTTCTGTACAACTTTTACCTGTCCACAGCATCCTGTCTTTCTTAGCTTTTCCAACAATGGTGCTCTCCCATTTCATCCTCCATGTCCCTAATGAATCCCCTGTGTCCCTGGGTGGAGATGGCTGATGCTGTACTGTCATGCCACTGATTCTGTCCTCCTTCCCCGGCCTCCAGTCATTGAAGAAGCCAACTGGTTGACTCTGGACAAAGATGTGCCTGCAGGAGATGGTTTTGATGCTGTCATCTGCCTTGGGAACAGTTTTGCTCACTTGCCAGACTGCAAAGGTGAGCTTTTGCCTTGAGCTCCACCACTCCCAATGGTGGGTGGCTGGCTGGCTGGCTTTAATAAGGCAGCCCTGCATTTTGCCTCTCTTCCTTAGTGCTGGCAGTTGGGAGGGAGTTGGGAGGGCGAATGGTGCTGGAGGCCCAAGCAGATAGTGTCTGTGGCCCTGCCTGGTACCCAGGTGATCAGAGTGAGCACCGGCTGGCGCTAAAGAACATTGCAAGCATGGTGCGGCCTGGGGGCCTGCTGGTCATCGATCACCGCAACTACGACTACATCCTCAGTACGGGCTGTGCTCCCCCAGGGAAGAACATCTACTATAAGGTCGGGCTGGCCTGAGTGGGAGGTGTGAGCTGGGAGGCCAGAAGCCCCATAGTGGCTTATGGAAGCTAATATAGTTGCTGCCACTGCTTACAGAGTGACCTGACCAAGGACATCACAACATCAGTGCTGGCAGTGAACAACAAAGCCCACATGGTAACCCTGGACTACACAGTGCAGGTGCCAGGCTCTGGCAGAGATGGCTCTCCTGGCTTCAGGTATGGCATGGTTTGGCAGGAATGAGGAGATGGTGGTGGTGGTGGGGGAACTGAGGCCAGCAGCCCTCACGCTTGGCTGGGGGCCCTGTTGCAGTAAGTTCCGGCTCTCTTACTACCCACACTGTTTGGTGTCCTTCACGGAGTTGCTCCAAGCAGCCTTTGGGGGCAAGTGCCAACACAGTGTCCTGGGCGACTTCAAGCCTTATAGGCCCGGCCAGGCCTACATCCCCTGCTATTTCATCCACGTGCTCAAGAAGACCGACTGAAGGTGACTTTGGCTCCAATAAGGCCCCTGACCAGGCAATGGCAGCCTCACCCGAAGACCAACATCTGACACAGATCCTGCAGCTGGGTGCAGGGATGTGGGGTCAGGCAAACGGGCAATCAGCAATACAGTCTGTGCCTTTTTCAATCCTCCTTGTGTTTCTTTCCCAAGTAATCTGCTCTCATGGTGTCCATCCCCTCCCCTAGACCTTACTCCTCCCAAAACCTTGCCCTTTGCAAGGCAACCTCTCACAACACCAGCAGGGGCAGTACAGACTTTATTTTCTGTCATAGAACTGGTGCCTCAACACCAATTCCCCAGGCTGCCAAGCTCCCAGACTGCCAGGCCTGGCTCTCCTTCTAAACACAAGGGCCTTCTACTATGGCTCACAAGGGATCTCCTGGAGGAAGGCAGGCTTCAGGTGACATGGTACAGGTACTTTCAGACATGTGGGGAGATGCAGACAAAGATGGCAGGCAGCTCCTAGCAGGCGGCAAACTTGCGCTGGATGCGCTTGTATCGTAGCAACTCCTGCTCGCTGACTGAGGGCTGCAGCCTGGCTGCAGCCTGCAACAGGTCCTCCATGGTAAGCAGCAGTGCTGAGCTCCCCATCTCTAGCCCTGAGGGGCGGCAAGAAAGAGTAAGGTCAGACACGCACGCACGCAGCTGGAGAACCGAGGCCTGGTCTGTGCGGCACCTTCCTGCTCAGCTGTCCCTCTGAAGTAAACTCAGGGCCAGGCCTGTCTCCCACGAGCTTTTTGGTTCCCATCTGGGGCTGGTGAGTAGTCTCACCTTCCTCTAGGTCTCGAACCCTGCGTTTGAGGGCAGTTGTCATGGCGTCAGAGCAGAGAGAATAGAGGTCTGCACCTGTCAGCTGAGGCGGGCAGCGATCCAGCACGTTCACTAGGCTCACAGAGGCCTCCAGCTTGAACCTGTTACCCATACAGAAATGTTATAGCTGGCTTCAGCTCTCCCCTGAAAAGCCATACTGACTGGCACATCCCCTAGCCATCCCGAGGCCTCAGCCCTGTGACAAAGCATACTTGCGTGTGATGGCGCTCAGAACACGCAGCTGGGAAGCGCGGTCCTCACTTGCCCCTACAAACACCAGCTTGTCGAATCTTCAAAGAGACAGAAACAGGAAAAGTGTCAGGGCTGCCAGCCAGGAGAAGTGAAAGACATACAAAATAGAAGTCAAGAAACAGGCCCAAAGGGGTCTGGTTGAGGAGAGGGACTCAGGATACCCACCTGCCAGGCCGCAGAAGGGCAGGATCCAGGAGGTCTGGTCTGTTAGTGGCTCCGATCACAAATACATCTTGAGTGCTGTGAAGGCCATCCAGCTCAGCCAAGAGCTGAGATACCACTCTGTAGAGAGGAGGCAAAGGCCAGAGTGTCCTTGGTATGCCCTCATGCTGCCAATGCTTCTCTTTGAAGGCTACTTCAGCAAGGACCCTTGCTGAGTTCTGCCCCCTGTCCCTCTCCACAAAGGCAGCCCTCCTTCTCAAAGTTGCACACCCAACTCCTTTTTTGTGTCCATTCTACTAGCCCTGAATTGGAAGGGCAGGTCCCGGATCAGAAGACTAATCTCACATCCCTCCCATCTGGGATCCCAGACTCCATTCCCATTCTGAACCCCTGACCTGTCCATCACACCTCCAGAATCTCCACTTCGCCCCCGGCTTGGTGCTAAGGAGTCTAGTTCATCAAAGAAGATGATGCATGGAGCAGCGGCCCTGGCCCTGGCAAACACTGAGAAAGGAGAGTGGTGTCGAGGAGCTTCAAATCAGGGGAGGGGGATGGGAAATGGGTCTTGACAGTTGAGCACAGGCAGCTGAGGCAATTGCCCAACTGGGTTGACCGTGAGCAACAGCTTGGGGGAGGGAGGTGGCACTAGGGCCACTGGGGTTGAAGAAGGACCCCAGGCCCCCTCCCTGCTCACTCACCTTCCCGCACATTCTCCTCACTCTGGCCCACATACATGTTGATGAGCTCTGGTCCCTTTACACTGAGCAACAGAGTGGGCGAGTGAGACCCATCAGATGTGTATAGTGGGTACAGCTGTCTTCTCTTCCCTCCCACATGTCCTTCCAAGCACTGCCCACCTGAGGAAGGTGAGGCTGCACTCAGTGGCTACTGCCTTGGCCAAGAGGGTCTTGCCAGTGCCCGGTGGCCCATGGAGTAGAAGGCCTGATCGTCTCAGGCCCAGGCTTAGCAGCTCAGGATGTTCCAGAGGAAGCTGGATGGTCTCCAGGATCTCCTTCTTTACATCCTGCAGCCCACCCACATCGTGCCAGGACACTGAAGGGATCTAGGAGACAGAGGAGTGTAGGGAGGTGACAGGAAGGAGCGCTTGCCCCACCTTGAGGACCTAGTTCTCACCTTGGGTGCGCCCACAGCTTGGGAGTGAGCTGTTTGCAATTGATCTAAGGCTTGCCCAAAGTCCTCGGCCAGCAGGGGAAAGCCAGCTGCACACAGCTCCCCCTCATCCTCCTCACTCAAGCCACCTGCCAAACTACAAAGAGAAACACAGGCTAGGCTTACACCTGTAAGACTACACAGTAAGTTCTAGGGCAGCTAAGGCTGAGACCCTGTCTTAATAAAAAAAAAAAAAAAAAAAAAAAAAAAAAGGACCAGGCCAACCAGGCTACAGATTAAGACTGCCACAAAACAACAGAGAGAACAAGAGAGTAAGACAAGACCACCTCTCTGCAGGTTTCATTGCCTTCTCCCCACCTCACCAGCTACCCCCCTATGGTGAGTTCCTCTTACCCCGAGGCTCTGATCCTGGCACAGGCTACCCGGCTGGTATGGGTGAGCAGGGCATAAAGGTCCCCTACCACGAAGCCCTATGGATTTATACAAAAAGACACATGAGCATGGTGTAGCAGGCAGAGCCCATGGGGTCTGAACTCCAGCTGAGCAGAGGCTTTGGTTGTTTCCTGTCTCACAGGACACCACCTCATGCAGGACCAAAGTCCTATGTGTGACAATGAACCTATGACCTCCCAGAGTCAAGGCACCTGTGTAATACTCACTGCACAGCGCCGTGCCAGCTGCAACAGGTTCACCTCCTGGCCCAAGGGAAGGTGGGCAGTGAGGGCCTGCAGGACACTGAGCCGCTGTTCCTCAGACAGCACTGGCACCTCCAGCTCATGAGGAAACGCTGTATGCACATCGGTGGGCAGGTCCTGGGCACGGCTTGTGGTGGCCACCACCATCAGAGGAGGGCAACTGCAGACAGAGGAATGGGCACAGAGTGAGAACATGGCTGGCAGTTCTTGAGGTTGGTGTCAGGATTGGGCAGAGACAAGCGCCATCCAAAGCCCCAGCACAAGTTGTGGGAGCACCATTAAGTGGGGATCTGTGTGGACAGGGGGAGCTCACTGAGAACAAAGGCTTCAACCTAGTGTTTCCTGCAAAATGCTAGACTATACACCCTGCTTCCCCTGGAGACTCCTACAAATATCAGTGAGATTTCTGAGAAGCCAGCAGGGATGAGGAAATGAGGAATAAAGGGCTGAAAAGACTTAGGAGAGGCCGGGTGTTGGTGGCGCACGCCTTTAATCCCAGCACTCCGGAGGCAGAGGCAGGAGTTAATGCTCCCCTAAAAAACCAACCTGTGGGCAATTGGCTTAATCACCATCCACCATGGTCTTACAGGATATGTTTACTTTTTTTTTTTAATCTGGAACCTCTTCTCTTTAAAGTTTTTTCAATGTGTAGTCTTAAAGTTATAGAGAAAATGAAATTATTCTTGAAATGTATTTTGCTAAAACATGCCATTTAAGCTGAGCAGTGATGTTGTACACCTTTAATCCCAGCACTCACTCCGGGGGCAGAGGCAGGCGGATCTCTGTGAGTTCGAGACCAGCCTGGTCTCCAGAGCGAGTGCCAGGAGAGGCCTTCCCTTCCTCACTTGCTGACGGGGTCCTCATCAAGGAGGAGGTGACGCAGTGTGGCCACCACACGGGCATCCTCATCCAGCCCATCGCGGTCCCGACCCAGAAGGTCTATAGCTGTCAGCAACAGGACAGCAGGCCTGCAGCGGCGGGCCCGGGAGAAGGCTGCCTGCAGCTTTGTCTCCACAGCCCCACTGCTGTCTGCACAGAGGCTATAGCAGGGTACCTGTGAAGAGAGAAGGGGTTGGTCTGACCAGGCTAGAGAGGTGGGAGGAGTCAAAAGTGGATCATCTTCTCTGTGGAGGGCAGGGATGGGCGAAGGAGGAGCACTGGCCAGGTCTTAGCTTTTGTTCACCCTGTCCATTCCTGGGACTGTGAGGACCTGAGTAACTGAGCATTGTGGGCTGTGTGTTAGCCTGGACTAGTGGGCTCAAGGGCTGCTAGATGGTAATGAGAGAACACAAAGGAAGAGAGAGAAAGGCAGAATCTGGACTGAGGGGAAGTGGTTGGGGTTCTCACCTTCAGTAAATGGAGCCCAAGGCGACTACATGCAGCTGTGACTGCTGTGGTCTTCCCACTGCCTGGAGGGCCCTGAAGCAGCACACAGCTGGTTCCCGTGAGCAAGGTTCCTCTGCAATTAGAGAATATACAGTCTCCCACTTTCTGTCCAAATGTTAAGACCACAGTAACATAGGGACCCTTGGACCTCAAAAGCACTGTTTCTGCTTGTGCCTCCCTACCTGCCCCCCCATTCAGGCTGTCTGCACTCTGGCCCTGTCTCTCATGTTCAGGCAGAGGCACAGCAACTAGACACAGACACAGTGCTTCCAGGAAAGCCTAGCTTGATAGCTCTGGTCTGAAGAACAAAGGGAGGGGGTCTGGGTTTAGACTTGGGGCACTTCATCCTTGGGGGATGGAGAGATAAAGGCCAGGATGGATCATGGGTTTCCTAAGCAGAAAAGCAGACAGAGAGCCACCTGGGAGTCTGCTGGTGGCCTGGCCTAGGTGTTCTGGCTTGTGGGCCCCCACTCTGGGTAGACCACTGGGAGTTATTTTCCTGGACACTGCTCTGCAGGGATGCTCTGGGCAGGCCCTTCTCATGGCCTGGATTTACACCTCACTCACCCAGGCTGCAGGTGAGGCTTTAGGATAGCACAGAGCTCATTCACCAGGGCCTCCAGGCCTGGAGGAGACAAGCTGTCCCAGGGAGTGGACCTTCCTGAAGGCAGCAGTGGAACACGACTCAGGGCAGAACCTGCCTGCGAAAGGTAGGAGGG